TTCTCCATGCCCTCTGTAGATCCCTTTTTCATTCGCTCATTTATTTAGCAAATATTTATTGAACTCCTTCCTACGCCGTGCCAGGCACTGTGTGAGATTTGGGGATGTAGCAGTGAACACGCAAACACCATCCCAGTCAGAGGATCTTATAGCCTAATAGGCAAGACAAGCAAGCAGGATTTTCAATGTAAAACACTAGCCCATAAGCTCCATCAGCATCACATCTGTCCTGTGAGCCTTGGTATCCTGGGACCAGTGCCAAACAAGCCATAGGGATATGATGCTATGGGAATTTGGAGGTGGGTGTCAACAGGAAAGGGTTCTTAAAAGAGGTGGTGTTCATGGGAATTCCCTCATGGCCCAGTAGTTAGGACTCCAAACTTTCACTGCAGGGGGCACAGGTTTGATCCCTGTTTGGGGAACTAAGATCCTGCATGCCATGCCACACAGCCAAAACAAACAAAATTAATCCAAACAAAATTAATCCAAACAAAATTAATCAAAAAACACTAAACCAAGGAACATTAAAAAAAAAACGGGAGATGATGTCCAGCCTGAGTGTTGAGGGTTGAGTAGGATTCCACTAGGCAAAGGAGGTTGTGTGGGTCCAGGGACAGTTTATTCCAGGCAAAGGGAACATACGGTACCAAGTCGGCTGGCGAAACCTATGACCCTGGAAAGTGAGCGGGTGAGAGATGAGCCTGGAGAGGTCAGGAAGGATAAGATCATATTTCAGAAGTCCAAGAAGGTTGGCCTGCGGCATTAATGAACACCTGACAAGACTATCAGCTGGTGTTTCACCGGTTAATTCCTCCCCTGCAAAGAATAGGTACAACCTCAGGAGTGACTCAGCTAAGCTCCTCAGGGAAAAGCCATTCTTAGCCACTCTAGATGCTTTTGAACTGTGGTGCTGGAGAAGACTCTTGAGAGTCCCTTGGACAGCAAGGAGATCAAACCAGTCAATCCTAGAGGAAATCAATCCTGAATATTCATCGGAAGGACTGATGCTGAAGCTGAAACTCAATACTTTGGCCATCTGATGGGAAGAACTGACTCACTGAAAAAGACCCAGATCCTGGGAAGGATTGAAGGCAGGAGGAGAAGCAGGCATCAGATGGCTGGATGACATCATCAACTCAATGGACATGAGTTTGTGCAAGCTCTGGGAGATGGTGAAGGACAGGGAAGCTTGGTGTGCTGCAGTCGGCCACAATTTAGTGACTGAACAAGTCGCTCTAGAAGAACTTTTGCAGGTGTGGCCCTTGACCAGTGGTGACCCAACCCAGGGCAGCCCAATCACCTCATTATTCTTGCTATTTCATTTTTGTTTCTTTTGGCCTTGCCTTGTGGCATGCAAGATCCTAACTTCCAGGTCGGAGGTTGAAACTGAGCCCCCTGGAGTGGAATCTTGCTACATTTCATATTCTGTAGCTGGGCCCCACCGGCCTGTCCTTCCCACCCCCACTACCCTCCCTCCCCCAACTATCGTTTTTGTCTAGTGTTCTGCTGGAATGATAAACTCCTGGACACCCACACCCAGTCCTTGTGAGAAGGGGCTTGCTGCCATGATTATCACCCATCAGTCCTTTTTTTTGGCTGCATCATACTGCTTGCAGAATTTTAGTTCCCTGACCAGGGACTGAACCCAGGCCATGGCAATGTAAGCCCTGAGTCCTAACCACTAGCCCTCCAGCGAATTCCCCATCATTCTTAGTATACTCTCTTTAGACCAGCTACACAAACAGCTGCTAACCCACTGGCCCAGGCAAATGGAACCATCATGTCTTCATTCACTGTGTTCACTAGGAAGTAAATATTATATTTATGCAGGCAGCCTAGTTATTCAAACTTATTTCCAAAATTTTCCTCTAATTATTTTCCTCTCTTTTTGTTCATCTAATGCTACACCAAAGATTTTGCTGCCAAACAAATTCAGTATGGCATAATGATTTGAAATCAGACAAAACTGGGTTTGACTCATGGATCTGCTCATCATTAGCTGTGTTGGCTAGTTACCTACTCTCTCTGACCCTTGATTTTCTCATCTGTAAAATGGGGATGACAGATTCAGTGAGACAAGATATGTCGACGGTTTAGCACAACACCTGGCATGTAGTAAGCCCTGTAGGTGGCAGCCATTCCTCAAGATTCCAGAAATGTTTACTGAGCACCTATTAGTATGCTCCCACGCATGCATTATGAGTCATGTGCTCAAAATTAACTCTACATGAGCCTACTTCTCGTAGTTTTATCTGTTCTGCTTTTTAAAGTTTTAAAAAATATTTATTAATTTGGTTGCACCTGGTCTTAGTTGCAACACAAGTGACCTTGGATATCTTCTTTGGGGCATGTGTGATGTAGTTCTGTCAACAGGGATTGAACCTGGGCCCCCTGCATTGAGAGCAGAGTCTTAGTCACTGGACCACCAGGGTAGTGCCTGCTTTTATTTTTGCCGTTGTTGTTGACTGCCCAGTTTGTAGGCTCTTAGCTGCTCAACCAGAGATTGAAAGTGCCCTTGGCAGTGAAAGCAGACTCCTTACCACTAGATCACCAGGGAGTTTCTTTTTCTGCTTTTAAATTATGAGAAGAGAAACATACTTAGACACATTGTTTCCAAATTGTGGTCTACAGACACCTGGGGGTCCCCTAGACCTCTCAAGGACCTAGAAGAGTCAAAACCATTTTCATAATAATGCTAAGACATTATTTGCTTTTTCACTGTGTAGACAGTGACTGTGGTGGGTAAAATTGCTGGCTGCCTAGCTTGAATCAAAGCAGTAGCTCCAAATGGTACTATTAGCCGTTGCATTCTGCATTGCCATGCTCTTTGAGGAAAAAATGGAAGGCCACTTTTACTTTAGAATGACACTGATGAAGCAGTAAAAATCATTTTAGTTAAGCCCAACTCTGAAGGACGTACCTTTTTAGTATTTGTCTGACAAAATGGGAAGTACACAAAAGCACTTCTCTGAGGCAGACCAAAGAACTCTGGTCGTCTCCAAGAAAGGCACTTGTGTGACTCAGTTGCCAGCTGAACTGGCTGCTTTTCTCAGTGATCACCATTTTCCTGAGAGACAAACGACCCCTATGGCTGTTCAGACTGGGCTATGAAACAGATCTGCCATCTCCTCGACTGCCCTCAGCTTGCCATCCTCGTCATCATTAGGCCATCTACTCCTAATGGGGACCCAGGAGACTCCTCAGATGTCATAGGAGAAAGTGTCCCTGACCCCACAAACCCCATTTTCCCTTGGACTCAGATGAATAAGCCGTTTAGAAATAAAGTGTGTATTTCCCTTAAAATTTAAATATAACCAGGAAGGTTGGAAACCTAGATGATACCCGAGGGACTTCCCTGGCAGTCCAGTGGCTGAGATCTGTGCTCCCAATGCAGGAGGCCCGGGTTCCATCCCTGGTCCAGGAACTAGACCCCTGATCTGGGAACTAGATCCCACATGCCACAACTAAATGGCTCATGCTGTGACTAAAGATCCTGCATGCCCCAACATATATAAAAGATCCCATGTGCTGCAACTAAATAAAAGACCCAGAGCAGCTAAGTAAATAAATAGATAGTTCTTTAAAATTAAAACAATAAATACATGCATGTGAACAGATGGCAGTAATGTAACTGACCAAGATCCCAGCAAAAGTGCCATTTCAAATGAGAATATTTTTATTGTGGTAAAATGTACATACCATGAAGTTTAACATTTTAACTACTTTAACATGTGTACATTTTGTACACTTGCAATGTTGTGCAACCTTCACCTCTATCTAGTTTCATCATCCCCAAAAGGAAATCCCACACCCATTAAATAGTCACTCCCCATCCCCACTCCTCCCAGCCCCTGGAAACCCTAATCTGCTTTCTGTCTCTATGGATTTGCCTATCTGGGGTATGTCACATAAATGGAATTATGTAACATATGGCCGTTTGTATCTGGCTTCTTTCTCTTTGTGTAATGTTTCCAAAGTTCATCCATGTTATAGCACTTAACAGTACTTCTTTCCTTTTAATAGTTAAATAAATAATATTTCACTGCACTAGTGGTAAAGAATCCTCCTGCCAATGCAGGAGATGCAAGACACGTGGGTTCCATCCCTGTGTCAGGAAGATTTTTCTGGAGTAGGAAGTGGCAACCCACTCCAGTATTCTTCCCTGGAGAATTCCATGGACAGAGGAGCCAGGAGGGCTGCAGTCCCTGGGGCCAAAGAGCGTTGAACACGAATGAGCAGCTGAGAACACGAGTCTACCACATTTTATCTATTCAGCTGTTAATGGACATTTGGTTGTTTCTACCTTTTGACTACTGTGAATAATGCTGCTATGAACAGTCTTGTGTAAGCTTTTGTTTGAACCTCTGTTTTCAACTCTTTTCGGTAAACACCTAGGTGTAGAATTGCTGGGTTATGTGATAATTCTATGTTTAATGTTTTGAGGACCCTCCATCCTGTTTCACTGAGCAGGTACATCATTTTACATTCGCATCAGCAATATATGAGTGTTCCAATACATTCCCATCCACACCAACGCTTGTTACCTTCAATACAGGCATCCCAGGGGGTATGAAGCTGTATCTCACTGTTCTTTTAATTTGCATTTCCCTGGTGGCTAATGATTGAGCCTTTTTTCATAGGTTTGTTGGCCATTTGTATACCTTCTTGGGAGAAATGTCTATTCAAGTCCTTTGCCCACATTTTCATGGAGTTGTTTGTCTTTTTGTTATTGAGATGTGTTCTTTAGATATTATGTATATCAGACCCTTTTCAGATATATGGTTAGCAAATATTCTTTTTTATCAACTTGGGTTGTCTTCTCCCTTTTGTGCCAGAAAATTAGATTTTGAGATCTATTATTTCTCCAGTACCACATTTCTGGAATCCTGCCACAGAGGGCAAGACCTGATTCCTAAATTCTCCTGCCAATGACCTTCCTTTATTCTTCCATTAGTCTCACCTCCGGATCACATGTCAACTCCATCTGTTGGGATGGCTTCTCAGGCTCCATGCCGAGGAAGATTCAAAAGTGGGAAGATTCTCATTGGGAAAGAGGACCACAATTCAGGAATCCTGCCATTGGTACTTGCCTTTTTGGTACTTGCCATCCCATCTTCATTTAGCAGCCTCCTTAGTGAATTTCTTCTTTCCTTTCCCTCCTCCTGATCAGTCGCTAAATTGTGTCCAATTCTTTGCAACCCCGTGGACTGTAGCTTGTTAGAATCCTCTGTCCATGGGATCTCCCAGGCAAGAATAAGGGAGTGGGTTGCCATTTCCTTCTCCAGGGGATCTTCCCGACCCAGAGATCGAACCTGAGGCTCCTGCATTGGCAGGAGGACTGAGCCACCAGGGAAGCCCTATTCCTCAAATTTTTCACTTTCTCCTCTCAGCCGAAGTTGCCAAGTTAAAAAAAAAAAAAAAAAAATATATATATATATATATATATGTATGTACGTATGTATTTGGCTGCACTAGGTCTTAGTTGTGACATGTAGGATATAGTTCACCGACCAGGTCTCCTGCACTGCAAGCTTGGAGTCTTAGCCACTGGACCACCAGGGAAGTCCCAAAGTTGCCAGGTTTTAAGTCTCGTCTTCACACATCTTTTCTTCCCCAGTCTTGGCTCCTTCCCTCTCCTGGGTCTCTCTCCTTGATGGGAAATGGAGGGCAAGTTCGTAAGACTCAGGTGTGATGCTGAGAAACTGACAGCACTCCAGCCCTGAACTCCCTTTGTCATAGGCCTCTCAGAGCAGACCTCGTGTATAAGCCCATCTGTGTCAGGTACTAAGACCCAGATGTGAATGCCAAGGTCTGTGAGGGGCCCAGGCTGCCTGTTCAGACCCAAGTCATATTTTTCGCCCAAGGCTCCCATTCCTGCCAGAGGGCACATTTCCTGGGATGTGGCCACTTTTCCGATGGCCAGCAGCCAGCCCATGGTCCCCTTTTGGGGCCCAGATGCTCCCATCTCTGGCCCTTCATTCAAGCTGGTCCTTCCATCTGGAATGTTCTTCCCCAGTCTCCTCTGATTAAACTCCACCCTTCCTTCAAAGCCTGCTGTCGAAAGCACCTGCTCCAGGAAGGCTCCCCCAGCCTCCCCGGCTGGAAACAATTTCTCCCTGGACTACGGTCTTTTTTCCCTTCAGTTGAGATGACCACATTTTCTGAACCATAATTGGGACTCAGGCTCTCTGTCATTGGTACAGTTGCCTTTTGGAGAACAGGTGCAGAGAATATGACAGCAGGCCCATCCAGGAATCCCTGGCGTGTGGGATCACTGCACAAGCTGTAGGCTCACATTCCTAGATTGTACTGCAAGTTACTGCAGTTCTGAGCCAGGAGAGTGTGCTGCTGCCACTGCTGCTAAGTCACTTCAGTCGTGTCCGACTCTTGGCGACCCCATGGACTGCAGCCTACGAGGCTCCTCCGTCCACGGGATTTTCCAGGCAAGAGCAGTGGAGTGCGGTGCCATTGCCTTCTCCAGGAGAGTGTGCTACCAGGTCAGAATCAGGCCTGGATGATTCAGACCCAGCTCAGGCCCATGCCTGTGTAGTAGGGGAGAGCCTTTGTATTCTATTACACGTTAATCACTAAAGGGATGTTGCCTGTAAGCTTCAGTGAAACATAATGGCCCATCTCTGAGAACCTTGCCTCTCAGGTAATGAGCATTAAGCTAAAATAACTTTGTTTAGCTCACCAGGAAACTTCCTGACCAGGCCCACCCAGTAAATGACTGCAGGAAGGGAGAAATGAACACAAACCCTCTGGAGATTGACTGGAACCAGGAAATATTTGACTTTACTACTCCTTCTTTTTAGTATAAAAGAGGTCTGGATTCTAACTCAGGCAAGATGGTTCTTTGGAACTCGAGTCTATCATCTTCTCAGTCAGCCAGCTTTCTGAATAATCGCCATTCCTTGCCCCAACAACTCGTGTCTCGATTTATTGGCCTGTCTTGCCACAAGCTATACAAGCTTGAACTCAGTAGCACCTGGAGGTAGTGAGAGCTTGATGAATCAAGTTTTTATTTTTGTGGAGTTTTTTTTCTAATTCCCCTTGAAAGTTTCTTGAATGAAGAGATCAGTTATTTCTCACCTGCCATCTCTCAGCACTCTGACTGACTTGCTATGATGGGTCTCAGTAAATATTTTTCGGCTTCACTGGTGGCTCAGATGGTAAAGAATCCGCCTGCAATGCAGGAGACTTGGGTTCGATACCTGGGTCCGGAAGATCCCCTGGAGAATGAAATGGCAACCCACTCTGGTATTCTTACCTGGGAAACGCCAGGGACAGAGGAGCCTGGCGGGCTGCAGTCCACGGGGTCACAAAGAGTTGGACACGACTGAGTGACTCGCACACACACACACATAATTTTTTCAGTCGGATGGCATGTCTCCCCTAGGCAAAGTGAGCGGAGGTGTGGCTAAGACACGGGGTGAGGGAAGACAGGGGGTCCTGAGAGCTGACTCACTGACAGAAGGCTTTTGTCAGAGGGTTGCCAGCTTCCCCTTTCACTCCTTCGGAACTCAGCTGTCAGCTCTAAGGAAGCCCAGACTGTGTTTCTGGAGAGAGGGGCCACAGGGAAAACCCTGCAGCATGAGAAACCTCACGGAAGAAGAGGCAGTACAGTGGCCTCAGTGACCCCAGTCAGTACCAGGTGGAGTGGAAGACCCATCCAGCTCAGTTCAGTCGCTCAGTCGTGTCCAACCCTTTGCGACCCCATGGACTGCAGCACGCCAGGCCTCCCTGTCCATCACCAACTCCTGGAGTTTACTCAAACTCATGTCCATTGAGCCGGTGATGCCATCCAACCGTCTTATCCTCTGTAGTCCCTTTCTCCTCCCGCCTTCAATCTTTCCCAGCATCAGGGTCTTTTCAGATGAGTCAGTTCTTCACATCAGGTGGCCAAAGTATTGGAGTTTCAGCTTCAATATCAGTCCTTCCAATGTATATTCAGGACTGATCTCCCTTAGGATGGACTGGTTGGATCTCCTTGCAGTCCAAGGGACTCTTAAGAGTCTTCTCCAACACCATAATTCAAAAGCATCAATTCCTCTGCGCTCAACTTTCTTTGTAGTCCAACTCTCACATCCATACATGACTACTGGAAAAACCATAGCCTTGACTGGATGGACCTTTGTTGTCTAAGTAATGTCTTTGCTTTTTAATATGCTGTCCAGGTTGGTCATAACTTTTCTTCCAAGGAGTAAGCATCTTTTAATTTCATGGCTGCAGTCACCATCTGCAGTGATTTTGGAGCCCAGAAAAATAGTCTGCCACTGTTTCCACTGTTTCCCCATCTAGTTGCCATGAAGTGATGGGACCAGATGCCATGATCTTAGTTTTCTGAATGTTGAGCTTTAAGCCAACTTTTTCACTCTCCTCTTTCACTTTCATCAAGAGGCTCTTCAGTTCTTCTTCACTTTCTGCCACAAGGGTGGTGTCATCTGCCTATCTGAGGTTATTGGTGTGCATCACCTCATTCAATTCTCACGACAATCCTCTTCCCCAGTTTTCAGAGATTCAGTGAATCAGAGTCACTTGTCTAAAGACACACAGTAAATGAGAATAGAGACAGAATCTAACTCAGAGGTGTCTGACTTTGAATCCTGCACTCTTTTCAAACTATGGCTCCATGCTGGAGGCAAGCCCAGGGGAAGGGCAAAGACTCAGTGCCTGCTTCAGGGTTGAGCTTGGACATCTACCAAAGAGGTGTGTTCAGGTGAGCTGACTGGGCCTCTGTACTTTCTGGAACCTGTGGGTTGTGTGCATGGCCATGCCGTGGACAAGACTCAGGCTCTGAGTGGCTGAAGGGAGGCTTGGATTTGAAGCCAGATGGGGCCACTAGGAGAGGCTTCCAGAGCTGCCCTTGGGCTCCATGCCTGGGTCAATGCTTCAAGGCTGGCTTCCTGTTTGTGTTCTGAGTCTAGTGGTCCTCCACTTCCCTTCCCTTCAGTGGGACATTGATTTGCTTTCTGAGGTCTGGAGGGCGAGAGAGGTTCTCCTGTCCATCTCACAGCCAGGCAGTGGTGGTGGATGAAGGTCCAGTAGCCTCAATAGATTGATCTGTAAAATGGGATTGATGATAGACCCTAACTCACAGAATCATGGTGAAGAGGCTGTGATATACAGAAAGTGGGAGCGGTGACAAGTCCTCAACAAGTGTGTGTTCTCCTTTCTACTCAAGGCTGTCACCAGCTCCCCACAGAAACTCGAGCAACTCACTGAATCTGTGTTTTCATTTCCTTACCCCAGAGTACTCAATAAATAGTGACTCTTCTCTTGGTGTGTGTGTCTGGTTAGGGTCTTAGTTGCAGCATGTGAATTTGTAGGTGCAGCGTGTGGGATCTAGCTCCCTGACCAGGGATGGAATCTAGGCCCCCTGCACTGGGAGCAGAGTCTTAGCCACTGGACCACCAGGAGAGTCCCAATGGTGAAGACTCCTGATGGAGGCATGAAAGAAACCTGGCGAAGTCTTAGACTCTCCAGGCAGTGGAGTGATGAGGGGCAGCTTTTCTGACTTCCTTTTGAGGCCAGGACTACAGGGCACCAGTAGAGGTCAAATTCTGACTCTCAGGATTCTCTGTCCCTTCATTTTTTTTCTTCTTTCATTCAAACATCTCTCATTAAGCACCTATGATGTGATACAGATTGTAGGCTAGGGGACTTTAAAAAATGAACAATTCAGTGAGTCTGTTTGGAGGAGCTCCTAGTCTTGTAGGGGCCACAGACATGTACAAAGATGAGGACCACCAAGAAGACTGGGACTATGATAGAGGGAAGGTGAGAGTGTGCCACTGAGGGTTAAAGAAGAAGAAAGTAGAGGGAAAAAAGAGAGAGAGGAAGAAGGGGGAACATAAAGGGAGGCAACTTTCCAAAGGAGTAAAAAGAAAAAAAAAAAGACCTGAATATGACCAATGATGGGCTTTCCATGTTCCACGTGAAATTAATGCAAAGGAAATCAATATCTATCCATAACGTGGTTTCAGAAAAGAAAATCATGAATAAAGAAATATATGTATGTGTTATACAAAAATATTAAATTTCAATGTAACCAAAAACAGTGAACACATTTTGGGACAAATAAAATTATGGATTCATAAAATCTGCAATTGGCTGTGAGAGATAGATGTAATCCTCCCTCTGACTCAGTTTGCAGGTTCAAAGAGATTTCTCCACTCATAAGCATAGTTTCTGAATATTTAAAAGAAGAAGAAGAAAAAACCCTAAACTGAACAAGCTATGGTTTTTCCACTAGTCATGTATGGATGTGAGAGTTGGACCACAAAGAAGGCTGAGTGTCAAAGAACTGATGTTTTGGAACTGTGGAGCTGAAGACTCTTGAGAGTCCCTTGGACAGCAAGGAGATCCAGCCAGTCAATCCTAAAGGAAATCAACCTTGAACGTTCATTGGAAGGACTGATGCTGAAGCTCCAATACTTTGGCACCTGATGCAAAGAGCCAACTCATTGGAAAAGACCCTGATGCTGGGAGAGATTGAGGGCAAGAGGAGAAGGGGGTGACAGAGGATGAGATGGTTGGAGGGCATTACTGACTCAATAGACATGAGTTTGAGCAAACTCTAGGAGATAGTGAAGGACAGGGAAGCATGGCGTGCTGCAATCCATGGGGTTGCAAAGAGTAGGACACAGCTTAGCGACTGAATGACAACAAAACAAAACAAAACAAACACCTGAACTAACTCTTGTCCATTGCTTCACACCAGCCCTCCCCAGCTTTGCCTTGCTCGGTCCACTCAGTTCACACTTCCTTTCAACGTTCCAGCTCTGACTGCTGCTGTTAACTTTATAGTCGTCATTCAGTTGCCAAGTCATGTCTGACTCTTCTCGACCCCATGGACTGCAGCACACCAGGCTTGCCCGTCCCTCACCATCTCCTGGAATTTGCCCAAGTTCATGTCCATTGAATCGGTGATGTCATCCAACCATCTCATCCTCTGTCGCCCTCTTAGTAACTTTAACAAAATGAAACTGGCTCCTTGAATGTTCCCCTCTACATCGCCCACAGTCTCTTGGGGATAAATAACCCCAAAGGCCAGCCCTGGTCCAGTCCTCATACTCTGATCCCTCCTTCCTACCTCTGTCCTCTCTAGGTCTTCAGTTCTGGGAGAGCTTGATGGACACTTTCAGGGTCCTGGAGAAACCCTAGGTACCAGCCCTAAATGACAGTGTAAGACCAAGGATAACAGCCCTTCTCCCTGCCCCAGCATCTTAGGCTTGTTTTCCCCAAAGACCAGCACAGCTGGAGTCTAATCCTTGCTCCACCACCCATGACCTCAATTTCCTTATCCATCAAGTGGGAATAATAACTGTCTCTCACGTACTGAGTTATCTCTTGTAAAGTGCTTAGCAGCCTGCCCAGCCCAGAAAAGTGCTCAATAAACAGTACCTAGCATTGTGGCTGTTGTTACCGCGAAGTGCAGGATGAAAATGATTTCCTGAATCTGGGACAAAAGCCGGGTTTCCTGGTGCAAGTGAAGCACGCCATTTCAACACCCAGGGACTTAGCAGCCTTTGCTGTCCCCAGAGGGCGTCACTCTCCTTTCACTTGTCCACTTGACTTTCTCCCTGCCTGCCATCTGTGGTATTTCCTCACCTGTTTTCCAGGGTACTCAAAACCCTCTAAACTTTTCATCTTTTTTTTTTTGGTCCTCTCTCTCCAGATAATAAAAGAGAGAGCCTCCTGATTCTTAAAGAGTTCCAGAGTCCCTTACCATCCAGCCAAGGGCCACACACTCATTCATCTCCATTCCACAAAGTAACCAATACTCACACACTGCCTACTGTGTGCCAGGCACTGCGGTGCTCATTGCTAAGCATAAACTTCACCCTGATCCGAGTTAAGCTGAAGCGGGTTAACTTTCCTCCCAGGTTTGGCTGTGTGGCCTTGGACAAGCTCCTTCACCTCTGAGTCTCCATGTCTCACCTGTGAATTGGGACAATCAATATCCGCCCCGCCGTTGGGATGAAACTAGACCAATCACTCCCCCGCAGCTGGCCGCTACCCGTCGCTGCTGACGGTGTGTATGGACAAGTGCCAGAGACGATTTGGATTCCCGGCTCCAGATACATTTCTTTGTCTTTGCTCTTTCAAATCGCTTGCTTTCCTAAGTGCCCAAGTATCCAGAATAAAAAGCGAGAATGCCCCGAGCCCTCAGATCGCAGAGCAGAGCCCCTCAGACCGGGGCAGCGTGCCTTCTCCCTGACCTTTTGTTTGGCCTTCACACACACACACTCCAGAGGCTGGGTTTATTACACACACACACACACACACACACGCACTCTCCAGAGGCTGGGTTTATTATTGTCCGTCTTACGAAAATGTAATAAAGTATCTAGACTGGGCGACAATCTTGCTTTTGAATTAACAATGTACGATGCCTGCGGTTCCCTTTCCGGGCTTCTATGAAATAACGTGTTGTAACAACAGTCGGGCTCCCAGTCTGGCGGCGGGCGCCGCGGCGGGAGCGGGGATCCGGGCTCTCACCGCCCCCCGCGCGCCCCCCGCGCGCCCCCCCACTTCCCCCGACTTCCCAAGCCGCCCTGCGCCAGGGCCTCGCCCGCCCCTGGCCCTCTCCAGCCCAGCCCCCACCTCTTCCGGCCCGCTCTGCCCGCCTCCCGACCCAACCCCGCCTCAGGGCCTCCTTCCCTTTCCCTCAGCCCCGCCCCTCAGGCACCCCTCCCCCCTCGCTCCCCCGGCCTCTTCGGGGGGGCCCCAGTCCCAGATTCCCCCTCTCCCAGGCCCCCTAATCCCGGCTTCGTCTCCTAGGCCCTGCAGCCCCTTGCCAGGGCCCCTCACGCGAGCCCGACCCCCCTCTCTCGGGGCCCCAGCACCCCCTCTTCGGGCCCGGAGGCGGGAGGTGACCGCGGGTCCCCGGCGGCGCGGCAGGGGGCGCTGCGCGGGCTGAGGTGCTTCGCGGGCTGAGGCGCGGCTGCGGGCTGAGGCGGCGGCGGCGGCGGCGGCGTGAGGAGGAGGCGGGTGGAGGCGGGGGCGGCGGCAGGCGGGGGGGCGGGGAGCCGAGAGCTGGAGGGAGGCGAGCGGCGAGACAGAGGCTCCGAGGCTCCAGCGAGCGAGCGAGCGACGAGCGAGCCCGGGAGGGAGGGAGCGAGCGAGCGAGCAAGCAGTCGCGCCGCCGCCTCGCAATCCGCCGCCATCCCGCCGCCTGACCGCCGCCCGACCGCCATCACCCGGCCCAGTCGCGCCCGCGGAACTAGACCAGGTGGGCCCGGGGCGCGGGACGGCTGGGGGCGGCGCGGGGCCGGGGCGGCGGCGGCGGCGGGCGCGGCGCTAAAAGATGGAGGCGGCGCGGCCCGGGGCAGCTTTTGTTTCTCGGCGGCGGCTGACTGACAGCGGCGCTCGGGCCCAGCCGACCTTTGTCCGCGAGCGCGGGGGCTCGGCCCGCCCCGCGCCGCCGCCGCCGGCCCGTGGGGCCGGGCTGGGGGCAACCGTGGGGCGGAGGGTGCGGCGGGCGGCCCTCTCCCCATTGTTGTGGCGTCCTCGAGCGGCCTGGGCTCGGGCGCGCGGCGGAGTCGGGGCGCCCCCGGGGCCGGGGGGCCTCCGGGGGAGGGGCCGCGGAGCTCCCGGGGAGTCGCCTTTCCGGCCCAGATTCCGGCGGCAGCGGGTGTCTCGGCGGCCCGAGGAGTCTGGGCCGGTTTCCTGCCGCCCGGCTCCCCATCTTGCTTCCTCCTGAGAGCGGCCGGGGGATGCAGGGCCGGGGCCCGCGGCCCGGGGTCCGGGGCCGAACCTCGGGGCCCAGGGGGCGGAGTCCCTCGCCCCCCGCCGGGTGTCCTCGAAGTTGGTGTTCAGGGTTGCCTGCCTGGGTGCGAGAGGCTGGGGGCTCACAGCCGTCCAGACGGCCGCGCTTTGAGTGCGGGAACAAGAGCATTATTTTCAAAACACTTAATGCTCTGTTGCTGAAAACGTTTAATAATAAACAGGATGTCTCTCCGCTCAGGGCCTGCCAGATGGGTTTTTTTTTTCCCCTCTCTTCCTCCCCGCCCCCCCAAGTATACCCCAGCACTGTTGAAATCGCGGGCCTCTGAAGAGTGGATTTGCGTTCGTGAAATTGGAAGGCGATTTTTGTTTGTTTTTACCGTTTTCTCCCTCTTCCGAAATACTGTGGGAGGTCCAAGCCCACCTTGAGGCGAGCCGAGGAGGTGTTTTTTAGCGGAATGGTCGCTTGAAGGAAAAGGGGGAAGGGGGGCTGGGAGCTCTTCGGAGTGTCATTTGCTACATGGCTGCCCGAGAGAAACCTTCAGAAGGCTTTGGTTCAAGGATTGTTCAATTGTCCCTGAGATTGTTGTTTTTCTGAAAGGTTTTGTGTGCATTTTAAGTGGCTTTGTACATCATCCAGTTTGGTTCCTGTAACCGTCCGTTTGAAGTCTCATCATGGTTTCTCGGAATCCACTTGCAGCCATCTAGCCCTGTTTGCGCAGTGCTGGGGTGTCAGGTGGGCCTGGGGAGGCCCTGACTTTGAGGTGCAAGCCCTGCTTGTGTGAAACAGCTCAGATTCCCTGTGCCTTCGTTGACCCACGTAGGGACATTGCATCCTCTCTCTCATAAGGCCTGGCACACAGTTGGTGCCTAATGGTGGTTTCTCCTGTGGCTGTTTGTACACCTGCCATCAAGTCCTAGGATGGAAGCTGAGCTACTGGTGGTGCCACTCTTTGTGCTGAGTGGTCAGGCAGATGCCACAGGTGCTGGACTGAGGCATGGCCAGGGAAGAGCACTGCAGGGCACAGAACATCACTGGGCTCTTGCTTGTTCAGCGCTGGGGCTCAGCGGGGAGACCAGGCTGGAGAAGAGCAGGCTTTGGAGCCCTCAGGAACTCCATTGACTGGGCTGTGTGGTGGTGGGTTTCTGCCCTGGGATCGGGGTGCCTGCCCTTTCTGAGGCTGTTACCGCAACTGGGTTTAAGGTACAGCAGAAAACAGGAGATGCTCAAGGCTGAGGACAACAAGCAGAGGCCCAGGGAGTCCTGCCTCTTGAGGGTAACTGCTTTCCTTCGGGAATGGCAAATAAACATTTGCTTGGGCACATGTGTCCCTTGGAGCCTGGATTCTGGTCCTCTTTGGGTTAGCTTACGCAAGTCAGCCTCAGCTCCTACATCTGTAAAATGGATATAATTATGCCTTGCCTTGGGTATCTGTTGGGGCTCTTGGGAGCCTCACGTACTATTTGCAGCAAAGCACTTCCATCCATGGGAAGGTGATGAAAATGTGTGTATGTATATTTTTATTGGTTACCTGGTTTTCTGGTGTCTTTCTAATTCCTGATCTTTTGTTCCTGTCATTTTGGTGGATGGAACCACCCCAAATTCTGTCCGCAGCCTATGTTTTGATTTTGCCTGGTAGCACCAGAAAGGCCAAAAGAGCTAGGCTACTCAGCCAAGTCTGAGGTTTGTACTGTTTATGGGAGACCGTAGAAGGACTGAGGCTAGTTCAGGGAGACTGACCCCAGTCTTGGCCATGGGTAAGGGCTGAGACCCAAGTTACCTCTGGACCAAATTTATAACTTGTTTGTAAAGGGCCCTGGAGACTCTGCTTGAACATAAGGTGGTTCTGCAGTCAGTGGGGAGTTTGTTTCAGTTCATTTTGGCATTCCCACAGCCACCTTGGTTTTGTTTTGTTCTCTGTGTGTGTGTGGTGTTTTTTTTTTTTTTGAACCTCCTCGGAACCTTCTGGCCTCCTGGCTCTGTGACTGAGACGTTCTAGTGGGTCAAGTCATCCTTTCAATTTTCCCTGCTTCCTGCCTCTTGGCCCGTCCTTTCCGTCTGATTTCAGTTTGGCCCAGCACTGTGGAGGTTAGCTGGGTGTTGATGTGATGAATTCACTGCCCCTTCCACAACCTTTTTATTTACCTGTGAATTTCAGCTCTGACTGGCTCCCTAATGCTGTGTGCACGGTGGAGGGGCTTGTTTCATCCAGTTGTGGGTGCTTGTCTCTCCTTAAACATTATGGGTCCTCTCCAGTCTTCTTCAAGCCCAAATGGGTAAAAAGAGAGTCTGGGGAAGGAAGAGCCAGAAAACCTTGGGAGAGAGGAATTTCAGGAATGGCAAGTCAGAACTAGCTCCTGCCCGGTCTAGTTGCCTGGAGCCTGGCCCAGGGATTTTTGTTAGGCCTTTTGGTTGGCTCATCCCCCACTCCCTTTTAAATTTCAGGTTTTTTTTTTTTTCCTGAAGGATTATTTTATTGTGCTTTTTTTTTTTTTTTTTGCATTGCACAAAGTACTGACTCATGTTGCTAATGGCTGTATGCTGGTTGTATGTCTCATTATTCTACTGCTTTAAGATTGCTCATTTCTATATTTGTTTCTATTTCAAACCAGAATAGGCCAGTTGGGCCAGTACATGTATTTTTAAATTTGACAATGATGCTTCTCTTTTGTCAAAGGTGTGTATCTTGCTATGGGTGCGCAGGTGTTAAATAGGGCCTGTCTACACTAGATTTTAAAGCAGTGCATTTCAGTGTGAAAAAGAAAATTTCTAACAGAGAAATGTTGGGGTTTGTGTCCTGAATTTTGTATTTTAGTCAGGGCAAACTAGACTGACTTCTTTCCAATCATAGCTTGATTTCTTTCTTAAGATTTTTTTCTGGGGCTTGTACAGACTTGGGAACCTTGGATTTGTCCTTTGAACAAAGAAATAAAGGCATAATTTGGAAAATATATGTACATATAACTGAGTCGTTTTCCTGTACACCTGAAACTCAGTGTTGTAAATCAATTATAAAATTCAGTGAAAAAAAAAAGCAGCGAGGTATATCACAGGACTATATTGAGTATCTTGTAATAGTGTATAAGAGAAAATAATCTGAAAAAGAAAAATATATGTAACTAGATCATTTTATTGTATACCTTAAATGTATTGTAAATCAACTATATTTCAATTAAAAAAAGAAAAGTAAGGACTTCTCTGGTGGTCTAGTGGTTAAGACCACTAGAAGACTCTTGTGCTTCCAACAGAGGGGGTGCAGGTTTGATTCCTGGTCAGGGAACTAAGATCCCACGTGCCTTGTGGCACAACCAAAAAATAAAACAAAAAAAAAAAAGGCATGGCCTGTGGTGCTGGAGATGAGAGAGAGGTGGGAGATGGTGAGCTTTCTGATGGAATAAAATTGTTTAGACAGGGTTTTGGGTGAATAAGGTGCCATTTGGACTGGCATCTTCCCCTGGGAACAGGAGGACCTGGGCTTTACTGTAGGTGATGTCGCCGTGCCTCTGTGGGTGGCACGTGGGACTCTGCTATGGGAGGGAGGCTTGCCTTCCTCAGTTGAGCCAAAAGCCTTGGTTGGGCTTGTTCTTAGCTGTGCTTGATTTTTTTTTTTTGGTGGTGGTTTTCTGTGTGGCCTGAGCTCAGGGGTGGGTTGCTCCTGTTAGGGTGTTGGCTTGTGAAGCTGTGCAGGTGGGGAGGGTTTGTGGGCAGAGAGGGTCTATCTTGAGTTGCTGGCAGTCCTTTACATTCTCCCAGGTGACTTCCTTCCGCTCCCACCTCTGCAACTGGTTTTGTAGCTCTGCTGTGTATCCTTTCTCCTTTCAAGAAAGCTGCCAGCCTTTTCCTCCTTGTGGTAATGCAGAGAGACAGTGTGTGTTGCTTTTAGGAGTCACTGCCGGACTTTGGCCAGGCATGGTGCAAGGTCCTTTAAGTACTTTCCCCTCAAAAGCAACCTTTTCCCTGAGGGGTGGGGGGGACTGCAAAATACTGAACAGAATAAAGACAAAAATAAAAACACAAATCACCTGTAACTTCGCCATCCAGAGATAACTGCGTTAAGACTCGTGTATTTCTTTCCTTTGATTATATGTTTTTTCAGAATTAGAAAATACTGCTATATACACTCTTCAAGGATTATAGATCCTCTTAATGTTATAGTATATTTCTCAGAGTTATTGAAAACATGATTTTTTGTAATTTTTTTGAAAACATGATTTTTTAATAATTGTGTAATTGCTGTTACATGGATATGTCATGATTTACTTAATCCTCCATTATTAGATTGTTGTTACCCACTTTTTGTTCTTACAAACAAGACTTTAGGGAACATCCCTGCTTACAAAGCTTTGGGTCCACATTGCTGTTTCCTGTAGGTAGAATTCCCAGTTGGAGGGTGTGCAGGCTCCTGCTTTGGCTCAGCACCAGTGTCTCCTGCAGCCCTTG